GTTCAGCTTTAAGTTCTTTTTCAACGTTCCCCATCTCAGTTACTTGTGTTTGGTTTCTAGGTTCCCAGGAAACATGCCACATCAGAGTCCCGGCCAACGTGGCTTTCCTGTCACTGTCCAAAGCCTGGGCTGTCAGGAGCAAGAATGGTGACTGATGCCTAGGGGCTGTCACTCCTCCACAGGCACCTAGGCTGGTTTCTGAGACAAAAGTGCTTATGCTGCTGAAATTAGTTAGTTATTGTCAGTTTCACCTTTCCTCCTCCTGCCATCCCCTCCTCTGCCTGCAGGGTTATGTGTCTCAAGAGAACGTAATCTGCTTTTGCAGAAGACTGCCAGTGGCCTTTTCCCATTTTTGGTATGTAGCTCTCACGCACACCTGTGAAATCTTCTCAGAAACCCTGCAACATTATACCCTGAGCATACAGGTGGTGCTTTATTGACTGGCATGTGAGAAAACATGAGCACATCTGTGTTTAATGGCCATTACAGAACAGACTGTGGTCTCTGGCCTCAGTGGAGAGAATGTAGTTCAACCAAACTCACTGTGGACCAGCAGCCTATGCCCAGAGGAGCAGAGAGATCCCATCCTTTATGTCAGTTTTAGTCCATCACCCAAGGGCTATGTGAAGACGGATTCTGGAGCTGCACATGGCATAGCACAGAAAGTGCTGAGGTCAACTGATGGCGCCTGCCATGTTCACGGGAGCAAGGTGTGGCCATCTTTGCAATCTCCCTTTAGCAACTCTTCCTGGAATTACTTAATGCTGTTGGCACATATGAGAAGATCCACCAAACTAAAGAAATTGTAAACAAGTTAGATTCTACATGCATTACAGAAACACAGCACCTCAGTTTGCAGGATTGGCAGATAGGGAGATCTGTGGCTATCATCTAGACACCTTGACCTCAGGCCCAGGATCCTGTTTGTCAGAGTGCTTGCCCATCGGTTTTTCTAGGCACAGCAACATGCAGAGAAAGATGGTCATGAGTTCATGGTGTGTGATTTACTGATCAGAGTACCTCCAGGGCCCTAGCTCTTCCAGAATGGCATTACTCAGAGTTTCCCAATGCCCCACAGATCTTGAGCAAGTATAGTAGTGCATTAGTTCATCGTGGACCTACAGCGTTGGCCATAAAAGCCCCACCACAAAACTGTGCGTAATGAAGAATGTTTTTGTTTTAACTCAGATGCTGAGAAGTTTGCCTCGTGGCAAGGAGCCTGAAGTCACATTGAGACAACTCATATAGCATCTTTTGCTCTTCCATCAGGGAATGGTTAGTCAGGCCACCCCAAGGGGGAGGAAGAAGACCACAAGCTCTTATACAAATATTTTCATTGTGATTAGCTTTTAATGGCCTGAGCCTGCATTTACTGATTTATTTCAGAGTCTTCATGTTTGTCAATGAAAGGAAAAGAATAAGCAAGATCTGTGCAGAAACATTCCTTATTCAAAATTCCAAATGCATGAAGTGGTAACGGAGCTGTCCCTTCTATAAAAGAAAATTGTTTTCTCCAAGATGATTTGAGTTTTGTGTGTTTGTTTTTTGGGTTATTTTTATTTAAACATTTAACAAATATTTATTGAGCTCCTGCAGCGTGCCAGGCACTGTCTTGGACACTAGGGATATAATAATGAAACAAAAATAATAATAATCCCTGTCTTTAAGGACCTCACTATTTACTTCCTTCCACTCTTTTATAGAATTATATGTAAGCTGTTACTCATTTATTCTAGTAGATTTTGAAAGACTGTTTTTTTTCTTAGTTTGGTTAGATATAGGGTCCTATTTTCATATTTTCAGCAAGGTCCTGGAAATAGGGTTTGTTTTGTTTTGTTAGAGTTGGAAGAGTAGTTTGTGAGAGTTCTCATTGATTTTTTTAAATCCTCACCCAAGGATATGTTTTTATTTATTTTAGAGAGAGGAAGGGAGTGAGAGAGAGAAAGAAACATCTATGTAAAGAGAAACATCAATTGGTTGTCTCCTGCATGGACCCTGACCAGGGATCAAACCTGCAATCTTTTGCTGTATAGGATGACACGCCAACCAATTGAGCCATACTGGCCAGGGCACTTTTAAATTATTTTCTCTATCACAGAGACAAGCTTCTAGAGAAAAATCAGAGCATTTCATGTCAATTTTTTTAATTGCCTTCTTTTATCTAGCAAGCCTATTTTCCTAAGAAAGGCATTCTAGATCACATGCTAACCATATACCTGTAAGGGAAACAGCTGTTATACCGTTTAAAAGATATAAACCTTTCCCCTCCATAAATCAGGATTTCTCAGCCTTAACACACTAACATTTAGAGCTAGGTAATCCTTTGTTGTTGGAAGCTATTCTGTTCATTGTGGGATGTTTAGCAGCATCCTTGCCTCTTCCCACTAGGTGCCAGTATTCCTGAGATGTGACAACCAAAAATGCCTCCAGGCATTTGGTCTTGATGCAGAGAGAAAGAATATGTCCCTCAATCAGTCCTGGCTGAGAACCACTGGTGAAATGGATGTTATTCTGTGATTCAGGTCTCACATCCTCGAGGTACAGTACATCAGTGAAATCGACAAAAAACACCGGGACAAGAAGTGTCTTCTGTCTGTCCTTTGTAGAAGCTTGGAGTAATTTTCCACCATGAAAGAGTTAATCTAAAGTGAGCAAGACATTTTTCAGTCTTATGAAGCAATACCAACAACAAATGATGAAATTTCTTCAGTAAATCATGCCTTGGAGATAGTTTGCATTTCCTTTTGGAAACTTGTTAAAGTCATATTCATTTACCGTAAGTTAGAGAGCATGTTGGACACAGTATACTCTAAGTTAATCTCAAATGATTTACAAGTAAATGTGTTCCAGATTTGGTGATCTCAGCTCAAGCAGTAGGCGGCTCATTTCCAAATATTTCCATTCTCAGGAACCGACATTCAATTCAATAAGTATTTATTGAAACATGTAATGCGAGAGGACTTTAGAACAATCTGAGATTGCTTCCATGGCCCCGTCCAGCAGAAAAGCAGCGCGCGGAACAGTGCCCCCGAGAGCCTCCATGTCTGACGTGGCACTCTCCATTTTGGTTTGCAAGATACTGTGGGAAAGCTAGCTTTTCCATTCTCTGTCACCGCACCAAGCCCATTCCCATCCTGTACCAGCTGTGCCTTCCCCAGTGAATATATGTAATTATGCATGATGTCATGTGTTTTTTATTTGGTTCTTTGGTCCCAAATGGGCCACTTTTCAGAGTTTTGCCAGGGGCATCATCCATTGCACGTTCTATCTCCCCACTGTCAACCTGACAGGGTATTTTAGTCCATAGTGGGGTCATTTAATCAACTTGCCTTGTATTTCTGAATCATCTTCACTTCTCACACACACCAGTGGAGTAAAAAATGCAGGGCAAACTTCTGACAAAAGTCACTGGAAGAACGATTGGTCTTGATGCAGAGAGAAAGAAAGGGTGAAAGAGAAACACAGTGGGCTAGAGAATCTTCACTCATTGAATTGCTCTTCACTGATTGCCTACTATGTGCCAGGCACTGGCAATATAGCTATGACGAAAATGGGCAGAGCCCTGTTTTCCTGGAACTCACAGTTGATCGGGCAGTGAAATAAGTGAACAGGCCACGTTTTAATATGGCACAACAGGTGCCAATATGAGGCAAATCAAGATGCCATGGGAACGCTTTAAGAAGGCACCACCCCAGCCCAGGAGGGGGAGAATCAGAGAAGGCTTTGCAGAGGAAGTAGTGTCTTAACTGGGACTTGAAGGATCTGTTGCCTATCAAAGAGGAGAGGGAAAGGGCATCCGAGGCCATGTTCCAAGGCCTAAAGGAGAGCAGAAAAAATGGAACCTTTGAGGACATGAGAAGCTCAGAATGTTTGGATAGTAGAGTGTGAGACAGGAAGAGGGAAAAGTAAACAAGAAAAAGCAAATAAGGACGCTTCTCAGGATTCTGACGAGCAACTGGGTCGTTGCTGGTGCCATTTACTGAGATTAGGAGCTCAGGAGAAGTAGGTTTGGAGGAGGGTGGGGTGGCAAAGACTCGAGTTTTTAATCCACCACTACCCCTAGAACATGGGAATGGCTTTTTAAATGTTTTTGAAAGATGCCAAAAGCTAATGGAAATATAAGGTGCTAAGTTGCAGCTTTTAGTTTTGTTCCTGATACAATTCGACCTCTTAGTTTCTGCCAATTTAGCTTTTTATCCAGCAACTATTGCTTCATTTTCATACTTATCATTATCATATTGCTTAAATTTTACCAAATGAGTCCGGAACAGTGGGTACCCTGAGTGAAGAAGTACAGTGAGGCATTAAGGGTCTGTATTCGGGCTTTTCCAACACACCTCTACCCTCTTTTAGAATATGTTTTTATTTATTTATTTATTTATTTATTTATTTATTTATTTATGAGAGAAAGGAAAGGGAGAGAAAAAAAACATGATGTGAGAGAGAAACATCTTTTGGCCACCTCCCATATGCACCTTGACTGGGGACCGAACCCCCAACCTGGGCATGTGCCCTGACCCACCACCTTTCCAGGCATGGGACAGTGCCCAACCAATTGAGCCACACTGGCCAGGGCTCTATCCTCTTCTTTAAATGTCCTTTGCCATGATGGAGTTTTTTATTCTAATACTGTGTAGACTCATTTTCTAGAGCATACGTTACTTTTGGAGACGACTAAAAATAGCATAAAAATAAGTATTATTGGGCTGCTTCCAGGCAAGTGTGTGATATCGCAGAATTTTAAGGTGTGCAGACCTCATTTGAGGAAAATTGCTGTGTGGTGAACATCAGCTCTGTGTTGATCCCATCGCTCAGAGCATATGGGGAACAAATGTGGTTGTCAGGTTAAGGGCACTGAGATTGCTTCTAACCATCAACCCCAGCCACTGCTTTGCCTCATGCCCTCACAGGCTTGAGATGTCCAAGGGCCTCTTTCATAGTCAAGCAACCGGTAACGAAGGAGCATCCAAGTTCACGTGCCTCCTTTCTGTTGTTGGCAGGAACTTAGATAATGGGCTGTGTGCAATGTAAGGATAAAGAAGCAACAAAACTGACAGAGGAGAGGGACGGCAGCCTGAACCAGAGCTCCGGGTACCGCTATGGCACAGACCCCACTCCTCAGCACTACCCCAGCTTCGGCGTGACCTCCATCCCAAACTACAACAACTTCCACGCAGCCGGAGGCCAAGGACTCACCGTCTTTGGGGGCGTGAACTCTTCGTCTCATACTGGGACCTTGCGTACGAGAGGAGGGACAGGTAAGCCCCAACGGTGACAGAGGGCTGGAGGGAGGGGGCAGCTGCTCTTCATTCTTTTGGCAATTGAAGATTGGTGCTCCAGCTCCTTTTGACTAAGGACTTCATATTTAAGTTTTTATTCATTTCCACTTATCTTCTAGATAAGGGGCTGTAAAAAAAAAAAAGAGTTTCACATACACATCAGAATGCTGGAGACAGCGGTGCGGGGACCCCGCGAGCTGCTCTGTGAGGGCCTGCTTGGGTGTGAGGCACACTCTCCCAAGGCCCTGAGGGCAGTGGCTCTCCACCTTGGCTAGCTGGCTTGGACAACTAGGCAGCTTTCCCAAAATACAGATGCCTGAGCCCCTCTCGGAGCTTTTGAATCAGAAGCTCCAGGACTGGATCAGAGAGCATATATTTTGAGTTTTTCAGATATTAATGCACTCCTATTTCCCGGATAAAAGCCAGGGGTAGCATCTTCTCCCTCACCTTCCTAATTTTCAGCCTGCCTGTCACTGCCCAGCCAGTGGGTCATTTGGCAGCATTTATTTTTGGCCATTCATCATCTTCGATTCTCTCTCTGACCTCCCTATTATGTTCATTATGACTGAGTTTATCCGCCCTTAAGTATTTCCATGTATCTTTTGTATTTTAAAACTGAATCGTATGTATCCTTAAGGGATAGTTTTCTTTTTTTAAGTTTCCTTCTCTTTCCCACCAAGGGCTATGTTTCACAGCCATGTGCATTTGCTGACTTAGCTAATACTTTGTAAAATGTCTGGCATACATTCTCAGGCATATGTTTTCCAAAACATTTGCAAGTTATCTCATGCATCCTTAGTCTTCCAGATCTTCTCCCAGTATGTGAATCATGGTAACTAGATAGGGGACCTTATTTGTTCCAAAACTGTTTTGTTCATTACAAACGTTTAAGGAAATATACATCAACCATTGTGCTCTCAACTCATCTGGGAGCCAGTGTCTTATATAAGGACCCATTGTGTCTTGTTACTGGGGGAGTTGGCGTTACTGAGACATTAGCCGGGGTTTTCGTCCCACTGCATGCACGAGGGCAGTGCATGTATAACCATGCGCCTGACCCGGAGCTTTGGGCATTGTGTCCTTGTGTTATGGCGGACCTAGCTTTCCCCTTAAAGCAGGCATTGCTTGGGTGAATGAATGCTAGGGACACTTACTTGTCTTTCCTGCCTTCCTGAATGGCGCCTAGAATGGAGGGAGGAAGGAAAGAGGCTGCCAGGCTGTCTCGGAAAGTCTCTTGAGGATGCAGGAGAGAGAAAAAAGAGTCAGCACTGCTCCCAGCCACCCACCCTGTGCCTGCTGAGTGCTCTGCCAACAAGACTCTGAATTCTGCTGATACAGGCATTGACTTTGTTCATTCATTCGTCAGTGCTGGATATGAATCCCTATGTCTGCAGGTGTCATTCATAAAGTCACTAGAGGGGTCATAAAGCTACTTGTCTTGAACGTGTGGGTCTATACTGTACTCAGAGACAATCTTAGTATAAAGGCCATCTGGTCCTTATAAATCTGAAAGTTAAAAACATTATCCCCAAATACTGGCAGATTTTTGTGCCTTGCATTATTTGGCTTTATTATACATGCATGTCTTTCTTCTCACCACTGCTTCAGAACATTAAGGCCAGGGACAGTGTCTGTGTGTCCCTGTGACCTCCTTTGACTCTCCCTTCCATTTCTAGAGGATAAATACCCAGTGAGCCCAGCCGGCGTGGCTCAATGCTTAAGCATCAACCTATGAACCAGGAGATCATGGTTTGATTCCCAGTCCAGGCACATGCCCAGGTTGTGGGCTGGATCCCCAATGAGGGTCGTGCAGGAGGCAGCCAATCAATGATTCTCTCTCATCATTGATGTTTCTGTCTCTCCTTCTCCCTTCCTTTCTGAAATCAATAAAAACATTTTTTAAAAACACCCTATGAGAACTTGCTAGCTGGTGGAGAGAGTGGAGTGTCCATCCTCGTGTGCTTGTCTTCCACACAATGCAGCTTTGGTTTGTTTTTAAATTATGTAATGAAAGGCATCTGTTGGCCGAGTGTTCAATGAGAATAAATAATAAGCATGACTTTACAGGCTCCTGCTAGTTTGTTTTTAGGCAGTTCTTTTCTAACCTTTAAAAGAAATCTAAAGAAAGGAGGACAGTTGCCAAATGAGCCATGCTTTGCAGGGTCAGACCCTCTGAATGCCAGCTCTCCCATAGGAGGTCTCACTAGGGATGGGGTAGAAAGACGAGCTCCGCCTCCCTCTCTGGTTCTTGAGGAGTCCCCCGGGCACATCTGTTCCCTTGGAACCACCCACTCAGCAAAACGGCAGCTTGGTGAAGAGTAGAATCCACACCAAGTACCTTTAAAGTGTATAGATCAAAGGAGAAGCCAGAGAGCAGAGAAATGGGGTATATTAGTTATCAATTGCTGCATAATAAATTACCACAAAAGTTAGCAACTTTAAAATGATGCACATTTATTATGTCACAGTCTCTGTGGGTCAGGAACCTAGGAATAACGTAGCTGGGTCCTATGTTTCAGAGTCTCTCACAGGCTACAATCTAGGTGTGCTGGGTGGACTACAGTCACCTCGCCGTCCAACGGGGAAGGATCTGCTGCCAAGCTCATGGCGTTGGCAGGATTAAGTTCTTCGTTGGTTGTTGGCCATAGGCTACCCACAGTCTTTGTCGTGTGGGCCTCTCCAACGTGGCAGTTTGCTTCATGAAAGTGTTGGAGCCAAAGTGACGATAGAATGAGACTGCTAGGAAGACAGAAGTCACAATCATATGAAGCCTAATCACTGAAGAGACATCCATCATCTTTGCCATGTTAGAAGCAAGTCACCAGGCTCACCCACACTCAGGGGAGGGGGATTGCACAAGGGCATGAATACCAGGAGGTGGGAATCACTGAGGCTGTCTCAGAATCCCGCCCACTACGTGAGGAAGTCCCAGGCCAAATGGGGAACAGGACAGTCTGTGCTGTTAATAGCAAACTTCCGCAAAGCAGGAAAGACCTGTGTGGGGACTCAATCAGAAGAGAAGAATAAGGTGGGTATGAGGAAGCGCAAGAACTACAAGTCAGTGTGAGGAGAGGTAACATCAAGGTGAGACCAGAGTTCCAAAAGCAATTGCAGATGCAAAGGGCAAGATATCCTCTAATGAGGGAACATGTACAGAGGCTTCTCAGCCCCCAGCTGCAGGAGTGTCCTACTACATCCTGCCCTACTGTCATGCCAGGGAAAGAGTGATGCATCTACCAGAACCTAACGTAGACCCCCAAGTGTCAGATAAAAGGTGTCTGATTGCTGCAGAGCTCTGCAAATCCGAGCGTTACACTGCTGCCGCCCCTTCACTATGGACGTGATATGAACATCTGTCTCTTCCCGAGGATTCATTCCGAAGTGCATAGAGGAAAGTCCTTCAACTCCAGAGGGATCAAACAACGCTTCCCCGCAAGGACCGAGGCATAAGTCCAGCCTGGGACTCAGTTCACACGTTAATTATAAGGCCGCAGCGTGTTGTCCGTGCTGATCAGCTTTAGATTTTAAGGTTGAGGTTTTAGCGAAGATTTAATTTCTTGGAATTAATTTCCTCTTGTGATCTCTCTCCCCTTTCGGTTCATTTTTCCAGGAGTGACCCTGTTTGTGGCCCTTTACGATTATGAAGCGAGGACGGAAGATGACCTGAGTTTTCACAAAGGAGAGAAATTTCAGATATTGAACAGCTCGTAAGTTTGGAGAGGAAGGGGAAGCGTGCGCCTTTCAGATTGGGAAAAAATCCTTGCTGCCAGTCTGCGCCTTTTCAGACCTATGAAATGCTGGAAGAGCCTGTTCAGTTAATTCATTCACACCAGTTTAACTTGAGAAACGAAGAGTCCGTGAGCCAGTGCCGTATTTTATGGCACTGTCTGTGTGGGGCGCTTTCGGGAGGCTCACCATAGTAGCCGAGTTGATGGTTTTGGTTTTGCTTTTGGTTTAAAGGTTATAAATGCCCCCACATCACTCTCGGCAAATCTGCGTTTTCAGATGATTGGCACAGGCCTGGCTATCCACACTACCCTCCCTCTGCCTGGGGATTTTCTTCACATTTCAGATGTTGCACTAGCTAAACCCTCGCTTAAGGCTGGCAGCAAGTTCCTTCTGTTTTCAAAACTGCTGAACATCCCAGTTGGGTGAAGCCTGTGGAGGCGTTGCCCCATAACGAAAATTTGTGAGTGACTGAAATCTTTGTGAGATGGGAGAAGAAGTGATCTCGCCCACTCTTGAGTGACTTCAATGTGTACAGTTTAAATGTGGCCGTAGGAACAACAGTCAGCAGGCCATGGGGGAAGTTCAAGGGTGAGAAGCACTCACTCTTCAAATACTACAATGAATACCTCCATTAGGAAGAGTGAATAGGGGTCAGTTCTCCCTGTAGTTTTTGAATATTGCTTCTGTCCGGCAAAGGCAGTGTGCATGCATGAGTGCCCTCCAGAGAAATCCGGGCACTGGAGAAGGTGGTGGTGTCCAACATTGACACGACAAGCCTTCTCTTCTGCACCTCAGCTTTTCCTGTGAGTGTTCCCAGTGGTGGGGAAGGAGTGGGGGCCTCCTGGAAGCTTTCCTGTGCCCCAAGTCTGGTTGCCCTGTCCTCTGCTCCCTGAGCGAACTGGATTTCATGGTGGTGGAAGGACCTGAGGCCGGCTCTTCTGCTTCCCAAAGAACATGGGTGCAGCACACTCGGAGTTCCTTGTGGGATGTGGCGGGGACCGAGGTGCAGTCTCCTGTCCCAGCCACTCTCTCCACATCTCGTGGAGGGGAAAGGCCCCAGGAATTTTCTTTGAAATAGTAAACAGCTGCTATTTATCAAAGGCTCCTTATGTGCCAGCCATGTGCTAAGTTGCAAATGTTCACATTTATTCTCCACAACAACTGCCTGAGGTGTGTCTCATAGTCATCACTGTACACATGAGGAGCCAGAGGCTCAAGTTTGGAAGCTGCCCAGGTGCACAGAGGAGCTAGCAGGTGCCAGAGCCAAGAGTGACATTCGGGGATGCATCCTAAGTACAGTGTCAGGTTTGGTCTTGGAAAGGCCCAGAGACTCCCATCAGAGGGGACTGAACCATTCAAGTTATATGAGGCTGGTGGAAAGGTTGGCTGGCGGTGAGGGAGGAGAAAATTTGGCTTTGATCTCTTCTGATAATCCAATACCTTATTGTTAGTTTGATTCTCAGATGAATGTTTCTTGTCAGAGTCTACTGACTTTGAAATACACTCCACTTTCCCTCCCCATTTCATGTAATATTCCCTCTAAGCCAAGGTTAGTTAGAACTTTTAACCAGATCCTGAAAGAACTAAGGAGTGGCAGGAAGTGCCGTTCCCAGTTCTTCTGCAGGTTCTCTCCACACTGCAAGTGGACTTGGCACCAGGTTGTAGGGGCCTTGCAAGCCAGTCCTGACAAAGTCAAAGCCAGGACTTCTTCCTTTGTTAATGTGGATAGAATCTAAAATGGCATCCAATTGGAATTTTGGAGAAATACTCAAAACAAGATCTGATCTATCTCAATCTATATTTTGTGATTTGCCTTTAATGTTTATGGAAGGCTTTGAGCCTCTGACCCTGTTCTCTTAGAAGAAAATATTACAAGGTTTTTTCCCTTTAATGTTTTTCCTTCTTGCCAGTGGAATTCCTCATCCTACATGCCATGTAAAGGTTCTGGGGGAAATAAGGTTTTTGTAACAAATGCAATAACCTGAAGTCAAGGGTAATAATAGGGAAGACAGAATCATGAAGGAAAAACAAAGCAGCAATACAGAACCAGATGGCATGTGTCTCCCCTCCCCCAGCCTCTCCCTGGCAGAGGGAGGGAAGGGCTCTGTCTCCCTGGGGCAGCTGCCACACCTCCCATTGTGCGTCTTCCCACTCCTTTCCCTGACTGGAGGCAGAAATGGGAGGCCACAGGGCTGGCTTTTGTGTTTTAAAGTGCAGTGTGAACCATGTGATCTGTGTGTGTGCATATGTGCCCACAGTTAATGGCACTGCTGCCCAGCCTGGGGGTGGGCGGTCCTTCATTGACCTGTATTAAGTATTCAGTGTGGTATATTTGGACAGTATTAAACTTGAACCCATTTTTGCAAAACATCTTTGTTTAATTCATCTGTTTCATTCTCTATTTTCTCATTTCATGATGAGTGACTTACCACCTAGAAACAGCTATTCTTCAAAATATAATAAGCAGAGTGGAACAGGGGTCATTGCCTAGGGTAGTGACTCTTTTCAAGTTCTTTTCATCAGGATAAGAAGAAATCCTGGTTTAGAGCCCCACCTAAACATTTGATAAAATTTTATGGATCATGCTCTCTGAAAGTCAGATGGGCAGTGTCAATTTAGAAAGAATCCAGCATTTGAAATAAAACTGCTCCACAGCTGGTCAGATCAAGACTGACCTTCCTTTGCAAATATCACTTCCTGATTCCATCAGGGCATCCAGCTCCTGGGACCACAAGCCCTATGAGCAGTTTTGGGGATTGGGCTACACTCTTAATAAATCTTTAAATTAGAAGCTGTTGTGAAAACTTAAAAGCTATTCAGAGCCAGGGCTGAAATCATGTATTTGGATATGTTAAAGAATAACAGTTGCCCTAGCTGGTTTGGGTCAGTGGATAGAGTGTTGGCCTGCAGACTGAAGGGTCCCGGGTTCAACTCCAGTCAAGGGCACATGCCTGGGTTGTTGTCTCAATCCCCAGCAGGGGGCGTGCAGGAGGCAGCCAATCAATGATTCTCTCTCATCATTGATGTTTCTATCTCTCGCTTCCTCTCCCCTCCTCTCTGAAATCAATTTTTAAAAAAAGAATAACAGTTAAAGAAAAGCTCATCAACTCTTAAATTAATGAAATATCTGAACTGTAAGAACAGTTTAAAGACATGCACCTTTAATAATGCTACTCACAATAACTCAAGTAATGATATAAAAGGGCCCTGACTGGTATAGCTCAGTTGGTTGAGCGTCATCCCATGCACTGAAAGGTCGATGGTTCAGTTCCCGGTCAGGGCACATACCCAGGTTGCATGTTGGCACATACGGGAGGCAATCAATCATAGTTTCTCTCTCACATCAATGTTTCTCTCTCTCTCCCTTCCTCTCTCTCTAAAATCAATAAAAACATATTTTTAAAAAAGAAATAAAAGGTAGCACAGTAGTAGAGACCCTATTTTCCTAAATCAAGGTGAATGAATTATAAAGAGTATATAATTAATTTATAGGTGAATTGGGCTATTTAAAAAGATGACTTACTTATTTGCTCAAAAGACTTTCTTGATAGATGTTTTGAGTCTGTGCCAGCCTCTCTGGGCACAACATATTAAGTTTACTACCTAATACATTGTGTCCTTGTCACCTCATATCTCCTTTGATAAAGACAGTGATCCTAGATGGCCTAGAAAAAGAGGAAAGGATTTTATCTTTCTCCTGAGTAACTGAAAACTCTTATGAGACTAATGGAATCACTTAAGAGAAATTCATGAATTCCTGTACATGACTTTAGAATGAGCTGATAGTTGGATTCTAATTTGTGCTAAACTCTTTAGGTACCCAGAACAGAATGAGAGAGTTAATGCTGGAATTAAAATGGAAATTACTTGATTAATAGAAGATCACCTGAATAAGACTGAGCTTGCCCCAACCTGCAGCAAAATGTATTGGCTTCCTGCCCCAGCTGACATTACCAAGTATCCCAAAATTGATGCTATACTTCATTTTTCTTAATTTAAATCAATTAGAACTAACTTGATGAAGGTTATCTTGCATTAAAAAATAAGTCTGTGCTGCAGCAGTTAATTTTTTTCTCACATTTTGGAGCATTTCCCAGGTGAGTGTGGGGTGTGGGGAGGAGGAGAGAGAAGGCAGGGAGATGATAAGTATTGTTTTTTATGATGAAATGTCTCCATCTAGCGGAATTTTGGAGCAGTAAGCATTGTCACTCTGTTAAAGATAGTGTCTCCATAGTATCTTCCTTAAATACATGCAGTGTTTAAAGAAAAAAATAAACTCCCACGTGTTCTTAGATGATTTCTTTACAACTCCATGTATTTATTTTGGAGGATGAAGAAAAGAGACCAATACAAACTGTAAATATGTTGACATCTTTTAAATCATGTTTGAACCTGAAAGGCAGGGGGATGAGGTAGAGAAGCAGCACAAGGTAGATTGCACACAATTGATGATATAGCTCTTCAGTTGGGTAATGGACTCATAGGTGTTCATATATAAACTTATTGTATGTATAAATTATTTTATAATAAAAATCTGGACATGAACTAAATTTAAGATTATTAAAGGACTTCCTAGGTATGAGAACAATTATTTCCCTCTTTTGACTGATTTTTTTTCTGTTTAAATTCCTTTAATACGGTGAGAAAGGAAAAAGACTGAAAAACTAATTCTAACGTACGTTTTTAAAAACCTTTGCCAGCGCCCTGTTTTCCTGTGGGCTGTTCTGTGTTACTTGTGCCACCAAACACTTCCCACAACTGCACACATGTGGGCTTGTCACCATTTGTCTGCCACCTTACTCAATCGCATATGGAGTTGTAGCTCATCGGTCACTTTACTCAGATTCCATCTTTAAAGAATGGGTCTCTTGAGTAAGGCTCATGTGTAATGTGGAGGCTATTCTCTCTCCTTAAATCAGGCTGGGGAAGATCCTGACCAGGGCCAAAAGCCAACTCACTTTCTTCCCTGGCCGAGGGCTTTGGCACAGAGTCCAGCCAACAAGTGATCTTAAGAAAGGCCTGGGGTTTCTCTTGCTCCCTCCAAGGGCCAAACAAGGAAGGAGAGAAAGCACGGGGCCTCTGGGGACAGGCTGGGTACTTCAGCTCCCGACTCAAGGGCAGCAGTGCTTCCCCGCCCCGCACACTCCTGACTCCAGGCTGGTGGAGGGATCTGGCAGTCCGTGCCAGAGCTACAGCCCCTCACACATCTGCTAACCACTGTCGACAGGGAGGAGCACACACCCCATCCCCGCCCTCTGCCGTACACAGCTTGTGAGTCGAGCCCATGAACTCTACCCCTTCAGTTTTCTCACCTGGTGTAAGCTGCGAGTGGCGTTACAAGCCCCCTTTCATGTCCTTCAGCCCACAGCTCTGAGAGCTCCACAGACTGAGACCAGACTATTGCATCCGTACAAACTGGTGTGACATGAATCTCACAAGTGTTGGCCCCCCCCCCCCCGCATTTGTGCACACACAGCTACGCCCACCCCCCTCTTCCCCACCAGACTCCAGTCATTGCTGTAAGTAGACAATGAAGTGACCTCAGCTTGAACCTGTCTGAGCAAGGCATACCCTATTGTATCTTTATTATTCTACCCATTTTCCTCAGCAGGCCAGACAAGTATTCAGAATATGCTTCCATCCCTTACTGGGCCTGCTAGCAGGCTTCCTCTCTCAGTTGATCTGCTAATGCATTTCTTTTTCTTTTTCTGGTGAGTCTTTTAATGGCTGGCAAATTACACTAAAGCCAACAGCTTGCGTCTCTCCAGCAACCAAAGGATCCTGGTTGCCTGGGGTGGGGGGCGAAACAGAGACTGTAGGAGACAGTGTGTGCTTTACTTTTCTCCAGCTTGGTTGAGATATAATTGGCATAATAATCCGTAAGTTTAAGGTGTGCCATGCAATGGATTGATGCGTATATATTGTGAAATGTTTACCATAACAAGTTAGTTAACACCTACTCCACCTCACATAATTAACATTTTGCTGTTGTTACGGTGTTTTTCTTAAATGGCCTGGCTGAGTTCCCTTTCCCTCTGTCCAAGTTGGGGACACTTACCAAGCAAATTGCACCCCCCACTCAGAGAGCCCTCTCCTGGCCCTAGTCCTATATGCTTAACTCACAAATAAGACAAGAGCCCTGGCCAGTGTGGCTCAGTTGATTGAGCATCATCCCATGCATTGAAAGGTCGCCGGTTCGATTTCTGGTCAGGGCATATGCCCATGTTGGGGGCTTGATCCCCAGTAGGGTGTGCAGAAAGCAGCCAATCAATGTTTTGCTCTTACATATCTCTCTTTCTCTCTCTCTCTCTCTCTCTCTCTCTATCTCTCTCTCTCTCTCTCTCTTTCTCTCTTTCCTCCTCCTTTTTCCCTGCTTCCCTCTCTCCCTCCCCCTCTCTCTAAAATCAATTTTTAAAGAATAGCAAATAAGGCAAGAGATAAGAGACAATGCTGGGTTTAACTCACAGGGGATCCTTTGACCCTCACAGAGGGCTGTGTTGGAATAAGAGAAATCAGGTGGTAGAATGACTAAGAGATAATCATACACTCTTACAGCATTGAGTCTGTAACTGCAAAACATTGAAATGGTCACTGTATTCACTTCTTTTTCTCTTTTTTCTCTGCAGGGAAGGAGATTGGTGGGAAGCCCGCTCCTTGACAACTGGAGAGACGGGTTACATTCCCAGCAATTACGTGGCTCCAGTTGACTCTATCCAGGCAGAAGAGTATGTTTCGTTTTTTCATTTCACTTAACTCCTTGCTTTTAAAAGTTAGTTGGCACAATAAAATGCCATTAACGTTGTGCAGGAGGGAGAAGAAATTCACTGGAGTGGTTAAGGGTGAGATGATCCGGTAATGCCATCTTTCCCAGGCCTAAGCCATTGTATTTTGCCCTATCTGTGGAATACCGGTGCTATTATTAACTTACTGTTTTCCTTTAAGCCTGCTCACTTTTTAAGACATTTATTTTGAAAGGAAACATTGTGTCAGTAACCTAAATGAAAACTCAATTTTACTTGCCATAAATAGAGAATAACCATAAAAATGTGGTGAAATTCTAGCTAGAGCATATATTACTGCCAACCCAAGGTTCTAAGCCTACAGTCTACTGAAAAAAGAAAGGGAGAGGGAGAAAGAGTGGGAGGGAGAGAGTTGGCAAATAATTCTTACCAAATTGAGACTTTTGCTCCTCAATCTAATCAGAAATATTAAAGAAGCACTAAGAAGACAGGCCTTACATGCCACAGGTCAAACTGTCTCATGTGGGGTGTGTCCTACAACTCGAGAAATCTTGTGGTGATGCATTTCAAATCGTCCTTTCCTTTTTTTTTCCTTTTTTTTAATTTAATTTTTCATTTTATTTTTTCCCCTTTATTGAATAAGATATTACAAATGTGTCCTTATCCCCCAATGTCCCCTTATCCCTCCAATCCTGCCCTCACCCTCACCCCCTGTTGTCCACATCCATCACTTATGCTTATATGCATGCATACAAGTCCTTTGGTTGATCTTTCCCCCTCACCCCCACCCTCCCCTGCCTTCCCTCTGATTTTTGAGCATCTGATTGATGCTTCTCTGTCTCTACATCTGTTTTTGTTCATCGGTTTATGTTGTTCATTATAATCCACAAATGAGTGAGAGCATGTGATATTTATCTTTCTCTGACTGACTTATTTCACTTAACATAATGCTCTCCAGCTCCATTTATGCTGTTGCAAATGGTAGGAGTTCCTTCCTTTTTACAGCAGCATAGTATTCCATTGTGTAGATGTGCCAAAGTTTTTTAATCCATTCATCTGCTGATGGGCACTTATGCTGTTTCCAAATCTTAGCTATGATAAATTGTGCTGCTATGAACATAGGGGTGCATATATCCTTTCTGATTGGTGTTTCTGGTTTCTTGGGATATATTCCTAGAAGTGGGATCACTGGGTCAAATGGAAGTTCCATTTTTAGTTTTTTGAGGAAACTCCATACTGTTCTCCTCAGTGGCTGCACCAGTTTGCATTCCCACCAGCAGTGAACGAGGGTTCCTTTTTCTCCGCATCCTCGCCAGCATTTGTCATTTGTTGATTTGTTGATGATAGCCATTCTGACAGGTGTGAGGTGGTACCTCATTGTCGTTTTGATCTGCATCTCTCGGATGATTAGTGACTTTGAGCATGTTTTCATATGTCTCTCAGCCTTATGTATGTCCTCTTTCAAAAAGTGTCTATTTAGGTCCGTTGCCCATTTTTTGATTGGGTTGTTTACCTTCCTTTTGTTAAGTTGTATGAGTTCCCTATAAATGTTGGAGATTAAACTTTTATCAGAGATATCATTGGCAAATATGTTCTCCCATGCAGTGGGTTTTCTTGTTGTTTTGTTGATGGTTTCTTTTGCTGTGCAGAAGCTTTTTATTTTGATATAGTCCCATTTGTTTATTTTCCCTTTAGTTTCCATTGCCCTAGGAGCTGTGTCAGTGAAGAAATTCCTTCGGCATATATCTGAGATTTTGCTACCTGTGGATTCCTCTAATATTCTTATGGTTTCCCGTCTTACGTTTAAGTCCTTTATCCATTTTGAGTTTATTTTTGTGTATGGTGTAAGTTGGTGATCTAGTTTCATTTTTTTGCATGTGTCTGACCAAATTTCCCAGCACCATTTATTGAAGAGACTGTCTTGACTCCATTGTATTTTCTTGCCTCCTTTGTCAAATATTAATTGAGCATAGTGGTTTAGGTCGATTTCTGGGTTCTCTATTCTATTCCATTGGTCTATATGTCTGTTCTTGTGCCAGTACCAGGCAGTTTTGAGAACAGTGGCTTTGTAATACAGCTTGATATCTGGTATTGAGATCCCTCCTAGTTTGTTCTTCTTTCTCAGGATCGCAGCAGCTATTCGGGGTTTTTTTTTTTTATTCCAGATGAATTTTTGGAGAGTTATTTCTAGATCTGTGAAATATGCTGTTGGTATTTTAATGGGGAGTGCATTCCTTTGACTTGGGATCTCTGTTTTTTCTTTGATAGTTAATAGTGACTAGCAGTTAGTTGGCCCAATGATCTCACTGCTAATAGTTTTGGAAGGTAGCCCATAGTCTGGGGGCATTCTAGAAGGAACCAGCACTGTTCCATCTCTGGACCAGTGGGGATTCGCAGGCACTTGCAGCCTGGGGGACTGTCTGTGGCTTGTGGGTGACCCTAATTTCTGAACTGAGGGACAGGGAGCCGGGCTGTGGTCTCCCAAAAACAGGAACCTGGCCCCCTCCCTACACCCTGGGGACCTGCCTCCTGCTCAGTGGAAGCCATCTTGCGTTAGGAGAAAGGTCAGTCACAGAGCCCAACCTTTGGCTCTGACATTTAATTTTTGCCCTGGATTTGTCTAAGTTTCAGAGAGCATTAGACTCCATGCCTCAGCCAGATCCCCAACTGGATCGCACTCTTATCTTTAATTTCTTTGTATTTCCTCTACGGAGACTGGTTTTGTTTCTCGCTCTCAAATACTCAGTGGTTCTGAGCTTCTTTTTTCTCCTAGTGAGTGTGTTTCATCATCAGTGAATAAAAGAATTTGTATTGAATTTTTATTTTAGGGCAGATGGGCAGACATCTTTGAGTTCTTTCAGCATAAAAGGTACCACCAAAATGTAGCTTTTTAAAAAAAAATTAACTGGAAACCTACCCACTATATATTTAAGTTGTATTTATAATGGTCCATTTTTAAATATTTTGTTTTTAAAGAATAAAATAGCATTTTTTAAGTGCCTGTGGTTTTACATGTGCAATTAATTATCATTATCTATACTATTGTCTCAGTGCAATCCATTGTTCTAACAGTTCTCTTTTCACCACTATTCGTATTTGCACTGCATTTTAATTGATACAGACTCACAAAGTCATTTCTCACAAATAATTGGTGTAATTCTCTTTATACCATCTAGTGCTAGATTGGGATTGTTGCACAGTCTGGTGCCTTTAAAAGTCACTGAGGAGCTAGCATGCAGCGTGTCTTTTCTTATCTTCAGGGAAGCTCTTTCATTCACAGAAGAATTTGACAGTGAACATACAATAGCTATGTTCAAGTGTAATGAATTGAAATTTCATTTCTGAAGCTGGATCTTTTCACAGCTAAATATTCTAAAAATGGTTCCTTTACGCAGATTCCAATGGGGTGCTCCCGAATTCTTGCTTGGGTTCTTGGAGCCCCTGCTGCTTGTTCAGCACTGAGCAAACTGAAACATTGAATGATTGCCAGGCCATGGTTAGGGCTAGAGAGTGCAGGGGGGGATAAAAGACAAATGACAAAGGTTGTGAGGTGACTTCATGTGATGCCTCCTAATGTGGCACAGGAGTGTCATCACAAAGAGAATATGAGCACGTGTATGACATGGAGTCGTTTTCAAGGACACGCTCATCGACTATGCACAGTCACCTGCCCTGCAGCTGTGCCAGAGCACGCATGCGACACGTCCCAATCCAGATACTTGGCAAACGCCTTTTACTGATCGGCTTCCTCACACCTGCTGGGCAGGAAGACAATGCAAACAGCATCCCAAGGCAGACCTCATTGCAAATTAGGGCTAATCTTGACCATTTTTCAGAGTTCCTATAGGTAGGTAGATACTGAAAATATTGTCTTTGTTCTTTATCCATTCTGGCTTTTTTTTAAAATGCCTGATTAATGCCCTTTATGTACACTAAGACTATGTTTTTGTTATTTCCTAGGGATTGTAATTATGCTCAGAAATCCATGGTCTTGTAGATGTGTGTGGGAAGGATTTCCTGCGGTTGCCATTTTAAACAAGGTCTTGGATTTCTCGTTTTGTGCAGGCAGGTGGCAGTTTTCACACAAATCAGTTCTTGTCATCTCTAAAGGGAAGGAAAATAACCCATAATTCAAATCTGATTTTTTTAAGAGTGAAAGAGATGAATTAAGGGTGGAATCAGGAATAGATTGAAAGGGAACTAGATGAGGCTAGGAAAAAAATAGATAGGGAAAGGCTAAGGATGAAATTGGGGGTTAGGAGGATCGGGGCGGGGGCAGGCAAAAGAGCTTGCGTGATTCCATTTTTTTAAGTGATTCTTATCAAATGTTTCCTTTTCTTGATCTCATTTATAGGTGGTACTTTGGAAAACTTGGCCGAAAAGATGCTGAGCGACAGCTTTTGTCCTTTGGAAACCCACGAGGTACCTTTCTTATCCGTGAGAGTGAAACCACCAAAGGTAAGATAATAAGCCCAAGAAGTTCACTTGTCATTCCGATCTGTGGATCAGTCAGAGGGGATGAAAGGCTTATCTCTAAGGGACGGGGTCTGTAAATGGCACAGACCCTCCCTGCCTTCTGAGGGAGGGCGTCCTATTTTCAGCTTTTCCTCCAGGCTCTGGAACTACAGACAGACAGCTCCACAAAGACTACAGAGGCTCAGAACCAACACCTTCCTCTTGTAACAGGGGCTGGGCAGCTTCCCTCCTCCGGGCGCACAAGATCACAGAATTTTCACAGATCCTTTAGAATTATGAATTTCTGAAACTCTTAGTTCCTCAGGCGCCAAGCATGCAGGTTGTTTTTACATTTCCTTTGTGGATTTTTTCATAACTGAGGATTGCTCTTCCTCCAACTATTGGCGTTTTCATTATTTAACGTCTCATTAGAGCCCACAAGAGGAGCCCTGCCAAGGCAGAGCAGAGGCCTCTCGCTTCATCGGCCAGCCACAGGTTATCTGCTCCTGGGGAAAGTGCTGTGAAGCAGAAATGGGACGCTCACTCCTAGAGAAGCAGTCCCTACGCTTCCTTGCTACCCACCAGCCCCTCCTCCGTGGTGCTCCAGGGGCAAAGGAGCCTGCGCAGCCTGGAATGTCTGTGCTCCTCTCCATCTTGCCAGGGCAGGGGACGGGATGGGGGAGGAAGGGGTGTAGGGAAAAATCCAAATAGCCTTCATTCTCAAGGGTGAATCATTTTATTGCTAATATCTTCTGACATTTTCAGAAAAGAGGTGTTTTCTTCCTATGTTACTGAGTGGAAGTGTGTGTGTGTTGGGGGGCAGTCTCCGCTTGGTAATGATTAATCAGAATAGTCAAGTAAATGAGACCTAAATAACAAATGATACTCACAGTGATTGGAGCTGCTAATACTCTGCATATTTACCAGGTGCCTATTCACTTTCCATCCGTGATTGGGATGATATGAAAGGAGACCATGTCAAACATTATAAAATTCGCAAACTTGACAATGGTGGATACTACATTACCACCCGGGCCCAGTTTGAAACACTTCAACAGCTTGTACAGCATTACTCAGGTAACCTTAGTTCTAACCAGCGACGGACATTTGGATACTGGAGGGACTGGGTGGGCACAGAGCAGGAGCGGGGCAGGGAAGGGGGAACAAGTACAGCAAATACATGCAGTCGCTAGTCAAATACAGTTGACCCTTGATCAACAAGGTTTGAACTGCACAGGTCCACTTCTATGGGAATTTTTTCAGTAAATACATACAGTACTGTAAATGCATTTTCTCTTCCTTGTGATTTTCTTAATAACATTTTCTTTTCTCTAGCTGACTTTCTTATAAGATTACAATACATAAATCATGTAACACAAAATAAGCACTAGTCAACCGTTTATATGTTCAGTAAGGCTTCTAGTCAACAGTAGACTATTAGTAGTCGAGCTTTTGGGGAGTCAAAAGTTATGTGTGCATTTTCAACAGCTTGGTGGTCAGAGCCCCTAACCCCCAAGTTGTTCAAGGGTCAATGGTAGTTTTCCTTGCTAGCCCCTCACAGTGGCTAAATAGGATCTACTGATGTTTTTCTACCGTAATTATAAGTTCCATCAAAAGATTCTATAACATTTTAGTTTCCCAAGTGGAAAACCATAGGTTAAACTTTAGAAGTTGTTATCTGTCCTATTCCCCTGCAGAAAAGAATTCAGAGGCTGTGAGAGGGTGAAGGAGCAATCTCTAGGGGGAACGTACATGGGCCTCCTACAGCGGCGGGGAGGGGGGGGGGCGGGTGTCTCTACCATCACCTTACACTCAGCTCTGTTGCAGGAATGACTGCTCGTACATTTTCTCATGACTAGATGAGTTTTCTGGCCCATTTATCATGCTCTCCTTCCCCACCAATACTTCTGTTCCCTAACTAGACTTAGACTTATGTGACCCACAGGTCAGTTACAGCTGCTGTGTTAAACTTTTAAACAGATCAATCTCCATCCTAACACCCAGGTGTCACCAGTAGTCTGCTGTTCCTAGAAATGTACACTTAGATGTTTAGGTGTGCGATTTGTGCATTTTATTAAAGAGTGTGGTCTTATGTGCCAGTGTTAAAATGATAGCTTTCTTTCCTAGATTAGCAAGTATATTCCACTATATAAAACATGCACACAGGCGGATATAGATATACATGTGCAGATATAGATCTGTGTCCCAGTAAGCCCAGCAGTTTTTTGTGTGGCCTATATGTAATTTTAAATTGTTCTTCAGGATAAAGCCAGTACCCCAAAAGAGTACATGCCTTGATTTCAACTATTGCTGTGTGTACATTCATTAAAAAGTATAGGAGCATGTGTGTGATTTTTTTTAACAACCAACAAAAAGCAGTCTTTTGAAGATGGCAATAAGTAATATCTATCTATTGATCCTAGGCACTAATGAACAAGTGAAAAAATTAGCAACACGGTGTATTTATTGATTATGGCATTGGGGAACTTTGATTTATGTAAATTCTAATGAAATATTTGGGAGAAATGGAGCAGAATATCTCCCTGAGCTTAAATGATATACTCAGAATGCCTGCACGTTGTAAGGGTTTTTCAAATGCCAAAATATATTGCATTGCAGCCAAACATCAGCAGGATTCCCAGAGTTTGAATCATTTGAAAATATTGATTCGGAAAAGGCACCTTAATAACATCATAAAGCTGGAAGGAGAGAAGGGATGGAAAGAGCAACAGACATTTTTTTAATCTCAAAAAAATTCATCTCAAGTTAGATTTGTTTTTGTATAGACTTTTCCTCTTCCCTCATTTCTCTCACACAATAAAGTGCCTTTGAAATGTGGACACATAAATAATTTCCTACCTAAACATCTTGGAACCTAATTCTATCAAAAAGAAAGGAATAAAAAAGTCACTGGTTCCTGAAGAAAAGGCAGCAATACTACATTTGATTTCCCCGGATCTGAGGGACTTCCAGTCGGGGGTTGGGGCTCTGTCCACCTCACAACCAGGCTCTGTGTAGCTTCTGCCACTGCCCTCATTCCTGTCTTTGGTTCCCTTTTCTCACCTGATTGGTGTGAACTTGGCATTTAGGCAATTTCCCCTTACCGCTGCTAGATAATCTTTGAAGAGAGAGAGAAAAAAACTTCCAAATCACCTCACAGTGATAACTACTTCTTTCCTTTCTCTTTTTCATGGATAATAGAGTTCTTCACACCCTTAAATTTCTATAGATTTTAGTTTTTGTTCTTTCTGCTTTCAAACCAGTCTCCTAAATTATACACTGGAGATTGTTATAAACATTTTTAATAGGAAATACAAAGGAAGCAGGATGGAGTCAGTTAAAATGCCAGAGAAATCATTAGAGAAATGTGGCCAGTTTTGCCCCTGCTAGGTATCATCTTTATTCTTACTTGACTATAAGTCTGATGTTGTGTAGAAGGATCCTGTTCTGAAGTTACCATTTTAAATATAGTCGAAAACCCTTAATTTTGGGGGGAGGACAATCATGTTGACATTCTATAGTCCACCGTACCCTTGGAAATCAATGGAGGTGTTTACAGGGTTGCAGAAGGCATGTCATTAGCACATTGGGCTGAAATGTTTTTCTTACTTAGTGAGTATAGAAACCAAAACAGTCTTATCTGTTTATATGAATAGACCATATTATACCTGGGGATATGGAGTAGTGCAAACTTCAGATGTCCTCTATTCTACCTTCAATAAACATGTTTCAATGTGTGGTGTCTAATCTTCCAAGATGTGTGTAGTTCTCTGCCAGTGTGGTACTGTTCGGAGTAATGCTGTGTGCTGGCTGAGTGTGTGCACCTGCAAGTGTTGTTGTTTCACGTGTTCTGCTTTTCTCTCCCTCTCTCGCTGCTGTCCCCGCTCCGTCAGAGAGAGCTGCAGGTCTCTGCTGCCGCCTAGTAGTTCCCTGTCACAAAGGGATGCCAAGGCTTACCGATCTGTCTGTCAAAACCAAAGATGTCTGGGAAATCCCTCGAGAATCCCTGCAGTTGATCAAGAGACTGGGAAATGGGCAGTTTGGGGAAGTATGGATGGGTATGCTAAGCCTCAATTACTTTATTACTAGCATCCTCGTTTGGGAAGTCTCAAACATCAAAGATGGAAGGTGAAAGTAAAGACTATGAGCAGGAGGAAAGTTTGAATTACTAATAGTGAGGAATAATGATTTTGATTTTGGAATTCTGGAATTTCTAGAAAAAAAATATGTAAGTGGTCAAGATTGGCAAATGGCTCAAATTATACTATTATATGTGTTTCAATTCATAAGCCAGTAAATGGTACAAGGAATGATCCAACCTGCACCATATGGATTGCTCTTCATTTCCAACTGCAGATGTTTGTCCAGTGAGCTCAGTATCGCCCTCAAGGGCAAGTCACCTTCCATCTTTCCTAGTGCATGCATGATTATGGATTATAAGGACTGTGTTTTCTTTATTAATCCTCTTTCCTGTAGAGAAAGCTGATGGGTTGTGTTTTAACTTAACTGTGATTGCATCGAGTTGTACCCCACAAACTTCTGGATTGGCTAAAGATGCATGGGAAGTTGCACGTGATTCGTTGTATCTGGAGAAGAAGCTGGGTCAGGGGTGTTTCGCTGAAGTGTGGCTTGGTAAGGCAGAGGGCACGTTTTGTTTTGGCTGCATCTCAAAGCCAATTAAACGGACGGTTTTGAACAAAACACATTAGCAGCCATTGGGACCAAGACACTTAACCTGGATAGCTGGTACAGGCCACCCAGATTTTCAGAACATGGCAGTACCTTCCTGTTCTCTTCTGTCCTACTTCACGTGGTTAATTAAGGCACGCACAGTACAGGAAACCAATGCAATAGGACTCTGGGGTTTCTTCTTCCTAAGACCTGGGAAGGTAAGATACTATAGATGGGCTACTGGAGGAGGAGATCCTGGGCTTTTTTGCTCTATGATCCTGGGTTTTTTGCTCAATCTTTACTAGCTGATTAACCATGGGCAAAGGGCTTGTTTAACCTTTTTGAGCCTCAGTTTCCTCATCTGTAAAACTGGAATGATACCTACTTCATAGAACTAGGAGGATTACAAGGGATAATATGTTTATTAAAGAGTCCCTTGCATAGAGTAGGTGCTCAGTAGATACAGGTAGTTCTCTTAATTTGGTTGACATCTCATTGGTAAGGCCTTCTGCACTGGTCCTTCCCCATATACTCCCTCTGAGGCAGTTGCAGCTTTGCTTAGACAATCCATGGACTTAGGCCCCACCCAAAAAATATTGCCAGTAAGGCAATATTAGTATTTATGGAATCCTCCTTCTTCCTTTCTTAGATTTAATGAAAAATAATTGTTGTTTTGTGTGGCTGTAGGTATTTAGGTGTAGTCTGCACTAAAAGATTGAACATGGTTAAAGCTCTTGGAACAGAGCCTGGCAATGAGGAAGTACTGCATAGATCCAAAGTTAGAGATAGAAATAGAGAGAGATAAAAATAGAGAGACAGGTAGATGCTCAGTCAGACACATATGTACATGTGTGTAAGCTATTTTAATAAGAATTATCACTGTTGTTGTTTTTCAGAGTCCACATTGTGATGTCCATCTCTCACTGGACTTTAGCTCAAGTATCGTAAAATATGTTTATATGACCTTCTCCTCCATCTGCCCAATTTATAATTAAAATTATGGGCCCTAAGAATTTTTATCCAATCACTAATACAATCAGGAATAATTGAACACTATACAAAATTTATTTACAAACATTTTAATTATAAACTTTAAATCATTGCACATATTACTAAGATTTTGCTTCCCACTGAACATAAAACATCATTTTTTGGTAGTTCAGGATCAGGATGGAATGCCAATGTAAGTTACTGGGTTGTTATTAGACAAAAGATTTCTATTTAAAATTTTGGGGTACTAACACTCAAATAGCAAAGACCACATACAAGTTGTCAGAGTTCCCATTTATGTTTAATGGTCAGATATTTTGTAAGATTTGATGAATATTCCTTTAAGCCACTTATTCTTTCATGATTCATATTTTATAGTTTGCATTTTATAAGTATATGAACCATGTTTTTAAAAGGGTAACAAAAGTTGCCTCAATTTACAGAATTCTAAATTCAATTATATTAAATATAAAATTTAATCTTAATTTAATCCAGCATTTTCCAAATAGAAAATAATACAATCTAATGTAGAAGATCTCCCCCCTTATAAATAGTTTTAATTCAAAGTCATAGGACTAATAATGGAATACCCATACAACCTACTTTTTTAAAAGTTTGGGAGCTCAAAGAAATTCAAAAGACAGTCCAGTTCTATTTCAGTATTTTGCAGATGAGGTAACCGATGATCATAAACCAGGCATGCCTCTGGACCTACTAGATTTTTTTAACATGTAAAGTTTAAATATTTCTGTTCCCTCTTAGCTGTTGTCTAATTTTTCCAGTCTAGTTAATAGAAGTCATTGCTCTCTTGTGGCTGACCATCAGTAAGCCTAAGGAATTTCCCTTACCTGGTTGAAGTATGGGCAAGTCTATGAGCTTGCCTCTGCTTATCAGCATAATTGCATTCTACTTATAGATCACCTGTTCAAGGACTCAGTCAAGTAGCTCATGCATTGCAGACAAGTGAAAGTCTGGTGGTAATTTCCAGACATCCTCAGCGTGTTGCCATCTTTTTAAAATGGTATACCCCATAAAACAGATCTTAATCTCATTTCTTCCATGCTCACTGTACTGCCTATTGGATGGATATTGGATGGCCAGGCTTGTTCTACCACGGGGTTTTATTCTTGTAAAGAAGTGTCCAGAGCTTTTGGTATACATTTGTAATCACATGGCTGAACCAGAAAAGGAACGTGAAATATATCAAAATAAGAAAATAGTTCAATTATAAACCATAGTATAGCCAGAAGTAAATACATTTTTTCTATTGAAAATCCTTGACTGAGTCCTTACATTTTATTGTCTTTGACAAAAACTGTATTAAATTTTTAATTTAAAATCTAACCTTATATAAATAGCTACTAATTTAAAAACATTTTTTCCATCAAAAGAGGACCTTTTGTTTGACTTAATATTGTGGGATGTCTGCAGGTACCTGGAATGGAAACACAAAAGTAGCCATAAAGACTCTGAAACCAGGCACAATGTCCCCTGAATCGTTCCTCGAGGAAGCGCAGATCATGAAGAAGCTAAAGCACGACAAGCTGGTCCAGCTGTACGCCGTGGTGTCCGAGGAGCCCATCTACATTGTCACCGAGTACATGAATAAAGGTTGGGCAAGGCCTCTCCGGGCTTCACCTCACAATGACCTACAGGGCTTGTTTCGGGGTTGGAGCGGAGTTGCCCACTTGCTTCTTTCCGTGGTTTCTGCATGAGTCTAGCATGCCCATCAGGAAGTGCAAATTGTGTGCTCATTAGTGAAAACATTTTAAACAGGCCATGACCTCCAGTTTGCCCCCCAGGTCCTTGTGATACTGGTACCTTTTGCATGCTGCACATGCAGAGTTCTAGCTCCTCTCCTTAATGAACGCGTCCATTTCTAATGTCGGTGATACAGAGGGCTGTGACAGTTTGCTGTTATTTTGAATGCCATCACTTGTATTAAATTTCCGTTTTTCAGGGCTGAGCAATTAATATCAGACACTGGTCTTTGGGCTAAGTTGAGTCTCCATTTTTTTAACATTTTGTTTTTCAGCTCTCTTCTTAAAATCAGATGAAGAAAGACATGTTTTTAAAGAACACATTTTATTCTCATTCTCTCTGTGTGTGGCTCTGTCTCTCTCTGTCTTCTAATCAAAGCAGTATTTTTGGGGATAAAGCCAAAGATCACTTTGTTTTGGAAAAATAGATGAACCAAACAAAAAATGTCCTTAAAAGGCAATGCATTGTACATCAGAGGATGCCAGTGTAATTTTTCCTTTCCATGTTCTCTTAAAATATATTAGGAATTTTTTTCCTGGCAGATTGTCCTTTGTATCCAGGGTTATTTGGTAAATAACTTTGGGATTAAAGCATGAAAAAAATCACCTTGACCCTGATGAGCCTCCAGCCTCTGCACGTGACTGTCCCAGCCCTGGTGTCAGTTCTGAGCTACTCGGGCTGTGCTATCACAGTGGCACTGAAGCTCGGCTATCTACATACAGGGCTCCTTGAGGCCTGGCTGGCCAGGACCTAATGGGGAACTATTTGCCCCACCCTATATTCCTTTGATATTCTTTTCTTTCAGGTATTTTTTTCTTGATTTAAAATCTGTAAATAAGCTAGGCCAGCGGTTCTCAAACTTGACTATGTGTCAGAATCACCTAGAGGGCTTCTTAAAATACAGGCTTCTGGGCCTAAGCTCCAGAGTTCTGATTCAGTAGATCTGGGGTGGAGCCTGAGCGTATGAACCTTTCTTTTGCACTGATGGCATTATTCAGTTCAGTTACCTCCTTACTTCTAATAAGAAAGCCAAATATAGCCCTTTGTTGGACATTTTTATCTTTCAAAGTAAATTGAAATGGTTTCATGTTTTCTTCATAGGAAGTTTACTTGACTTCTTAAAAGATGGAGAAGGAAGAGCTCTGAAATTACCAAATCTGGTGGACATGGCAGCACAGGTAGGCCCCATGGTACCTAGATTCCTGCCTTAGATATAATGATGTGTAAATACATCAAGCCAAGGGGTAACGTGTTCCATTCTCTCAACTTCCACAGGTTGCTGCAGGAATGGCTTACATCGAACGCATGAATTACATCCACAGAGATCTGCGATCAGCAAACATTCTAGTGGGGAATGGACTAATATGCAAGATCGCCGACTTTGGATTGGCCAGATTGATCGAGGACAATGAGTACACAGCCAGACAAGGTAGGCACTTGGATGATGATGGCTCATGACCACATCCTTGAAAACAGCCCTTCCTCCCTCCTTCCCTTTCCTTCCTTCAGAAAATATTGGAAATGTCATTCTTCAGATAGGTTTTTTCTCTTTTTTATCTGGCAGGAATTTGACAACTCAGCTGGTGGGAGGCCGTAGTGGGTTTCAATAGATGGATGAGATGTTCCTTTTTGATGAGTGAGTGTTCACTGGTGTGGTCCTCCTGGTTTGTGGCACTCTCACAGTGCTTTGCTTTTGAAGGAGGGTTGTGGAAGGCCAATCGATCAGTCACGTAATAGCTCATCATTCCACCAGAGTCTCGGCAAAAAGCAGAAGGCATGCTCGTTGGATAATTTAATAAAGGAGTTATTTACAAAGACATGGGCAGGGTTTCAGAAAACAAGCAGAGCATGGTGCCTTCCACTGTATATTCCACGGCTTGTATTAGCAGTGGGCCTGAGGCCTGAAGGCAAAGGAGTATGGGTGGCAGCGGGCACCAGAACTACAAACGCAACTGTGCTGAAAAGCCACGTTAGAGAGAGGCAGCAGGGTGGGTCTGGAGGATTCGTACCCAGGCTCACTCTTGAGCCTCCTCCAGACCTCCTGCCAAACCCAACCAGAAGCTAGGGGTCAAAGGCGCCCATTGATGAGTTCAGATGGGTCCAGAGCAAGGACAGTAAAAATGAGATTTAGAGGGAAAATAGAAAATAACGTGTAGTCACTTGAAAATAACTTCCCTTAATTACCTGCTCCTACCCACCCCCTCCAAAGATTTGTAGAATTGGCCTCTAGAAAAAACACATCCCAACCAGCAGCCACTCTGGTGGGCAGCTTGTCAGGTGCTTTTAGAGCACCAGGAAGGAAATGCCCACGGTTATTTTCTGTCCTCAGACATCTTCACGTAGCGGTCAACAGGTAAACATGCAGAGTTAAAAGGGCTGTTGGCAATTAAATGTAGGCTCCTTGTGTGGAATATAATGCCTGTGTCTGAAGGAAGAGGTAACCTTCATTGTTGTTGTTTTAACCAAAGCTGGTTATTCTGAGCAAGGCTGAGTGGTGACTGGAATATATTACAGGGCGGTGCTTTCTGCTGGATTTCATAAAGGCCACCTCCAGAATTCTTATTCTTCTTTATTTTTCAATTCTTTCATTTCTTGCCAATTCTTCCCTGCTTTTATCATTCTCGGCAGTCTCCAGTGATGAGGAAAAATGTTAAACTCAAATCCTGGCTCGTACAGACACTGTCCAAATGCAAAATTATGTGTCGGTCAGACAGCTTGGCTATTTGAATTTCCCCAACATGTGGCAGTTCTTGTCCTGGAGCCAAATGCCCACACAGCAAGCATGCCCACACATTACACACACACCAGTGCGGGGCCAGATGGCATGCGTATCTCTAATCAAAGGCACACGGACAGCTTTGGTTGGCACTGGCAGTCCTCAGAAAATGTGGACGTGATTTTGAGTCAAGGTGAGCTGAGACGGTCTGAAGTACCACTGGGTCTGAAACCTGGCCCTAAATGAAAGCCTTTACCCAGAGGCAAACCTGTCAGATCTCAGCTCACAGACCTGGAAGGAGAGGAGAACAGAGCAGAGCAGGCGAAGGTTGTGAGGCATGAATATCTGATTTAGGAAGTGGTGAGAGAGAGTCAGTCTTGTTGTTTGGTCCTGTAAGCATCCTTCATGTTGCTGGAGGGATTGGTTCAGGACTTGTTTCTCCCCTTCTCCTGGACTTTGGACTTTATAGAATTTGTGGTCCTGAACCATCCATAAATGAGAGGGTTACAGGGCCAGAAGCCCGAGGATGCTGGCAGGAGTGCTGCTGGCAGGGCCTGGCTATTTAGCACCTGGAATGAGACCCCTCTGGCGGTGGCCCTGGGTGATGAGCGCCCATGGGGAAGGCGTGTGAGGGGCCCTCGCCGGTTACTGTCACACACGCGGCTGCTGTGGAACAGGCCCAGCAGCCAACCCAGCCCTGGCCTTCAAGTCCTGTCTTCTTCGGTGAACTGTCCTGATTGCTTTCTGTGGCCCCTCACTTCCACCATCACCTTTCAAAGGATTGGCCTCAAACCCTTTGTGTACTATGTTTTCTTCACTTAATCTCCACAAAGAGTATTCACCCTTCCTTCTTAAAATTCTTTTTTTTCCATCACCATATATCCCCTCTGTGTCCTCTCCCACCTCCACCCATCCCCCTCCACCCCAGCAATCACCACACTGTTGTCCATGTCCATGAGTTATCTCTCTTTTGTTTTTCTCGATTTTATCATCCCCCACCCTCACCCCTGCCACCAGAGCTTTCTGCCTACTCTTTATCTATGAGTCTGTCTCTATTTCGCTTGGTAGTTCAGTTTGTTCATTAAATTTTTGTTCATTAAATTCCACATATGAGTGAAATCATATAGTACTTGTTTTTCTCTGGCTTATTTTGCTTAGCATAATGTTCTCCAGATCTATCCATGCTGTTGTAAAGGATAAAAGTTTCTTCCTTTTTACAGCAGAGTAGAATTCTAATATGTAAATGTGCCACAACTTTTTTTATCCACTTGTCTACTGATGGACACTTGGGCTGCCTCCAAATTGTGGCTATTGTAAATAATGCTGCAATGAACATCGGGTGAATATATTCTTTCTAATTAGTGTTTCAGGTTCCATCAAATAAATTCCCAGAAGTGGAATCACTGGGTCTTCCCTTTCACAAATATCTTTAGATCCATGCCAAAGACTGGAGAGAGATAAGTAAGACGTAAATGAACTGGAAAACTAAACTGGGGTGGGGGGACCACAAAGTCTGTGAGGCCCCAGGATTTTCAAGGAGAATAAAAGAAATGCTGCCCTACAGCAGAGGGAGTGGAAGGAACGGGGGCATTTATGGAATATACTTACAAGAGCCAGGCCTGAGCGGGAGAATGTGAGCAGTGGGGAGGAAGCAATAGAAACAGGCTCAGAGGGGTTAAGTAACTCATATAAAGTCCCACAGCTAGTAAAAGGGCAGAGGCAGGATTTGAATCTATGTATGGCTGGCCCTACTGCCTCTGCCCTCTTAAGCTATATTGACTGCCTCTGATCCAGACTGATTAAAAGAACAGAAAATTAAAAATTGATATTAATCATAAGTCCCTTTATCTCTTTATTTTATGGAAAAGTTTGGTGGTGGTGGTGGTGGTGGTGGTGTGTGTGTGTGTGTGTGTGTGTGTGTGTGTTGGAAAGACCTTCCTTTTCCTGCTCTGGGACAACTCAGCTGTTTATAGAGTTCCTCCTCCCAAGGGTCTGCCTGCCCTGGCCTCTGTGCAAGGCAGAGGGCCTGGTGTGCATCTGTGGTGTGCTCTGCAGATGGCATGCGTGCTGCGTGCTGAAGTGTTTGCTGGGAGGCAGCAGCTCCTCCACACAGCTGGCCCGTGTGCCTGGCAATGTTTGCAAGTTGGGTTTTATGATCCCACAGGCCACAGCCAGGCAGCATCTTGATTATGGGACTGTGGGCAGTGTTTGAAGCATGTGCTGGACACAGGTATTCAGGGCTGTGAGTGACAATTGTTTTTCAGCACAGTTGTGACCTTCCCATTGAAGGGCACACCGAAATGCCTGTCCTCCCCCTGGATGGATGTGATGGCATTTCCCAGGGCACAAGCAGCACTGGAACGTGGACCTGTGTTAAGCAGCCCTTCCTGCGTTCCTTCCCTCCCACCACCCCCACCCCACTGGACTGCCCCGAAGCCCCATATGAAGAGGAAGGTCAAGACTAGGCCAGAATCTGTGAGGATGATGCTCTGCCAACAGCATTCTAGAGGCAACTAGACATTACGTGGTGCTGCTCGTTCTGTTACCTGTACATTTCCTCCGCTGCAGCAGATGCATCTCTGTAGATCTCTTTAGTCATAAACTCTGTGCTAAACTCTGACCACTCAGGGCCCCTGAGGAATGCCAGCACTCGTTATTTGAGGGCCTTGTGTGTAAAAGGGACTTTGCTAGGAGCTGCTGATATTACGAAGCCTAAGACTGCACAGGGGCAGGGAGCAGGCATGGGGAGGGACACTGAAGTTGGGTAGAACCAGGTGTGAAACCCGCTCTGTCCTCTGGGGTCTCGGACAAGCTAGTTAACTTTGCCACAGCTCAGTTTGCTTATTTGTGGAAATATATTTTACCTGCTTTGTGTTTTAATTTTTGCAAATATTAAGTAAAGCAATAAATGTAAAGTATTAGCATAGTGCCCAGTGCATAGCAGATGATAGATAAAAAATACTCTTGTTATGTTCCATATAGGACTAAGCTTTTGGATAATAAGCAAATGCAAGAATGGATTGTAGGCACAATGGAAAGGCTGAAACAGGAAAGGGAGAGAGGAATCAAACCTAATTCCCAAATAGTCTAATGCAAGTAATCATGAGAATGGAGTTGCCCGTAACAGAGATGAGTGGTCTTATTTTCAGAGAAAGAGGGTGAGTTTGGGATTTATTGAGCTTGAGGTGGTTGTGGTACTACATCCATTGAGGTGTTGAATCCCAGAGAGGTCAGTCAGGGTGCCCACTGCCACAGGTCCTCACCTTCCAGCCCTCCCACATCACTGTGCCTCCGCTGACCATGCCTCTCACCCCCATGCTACCTACACCCTCCCTAGGGTCTGATCCCAGCCACCTCCCCACCCCAGCACTGCACCTTCATCCCAGCCTCATTCCACAGCTGACCCCCGCCATGCCCGTGCCAGGGCGCCGCAGAGACCTGCTGTCCGCCCTTTGGTCCTCACACTTGCAACCGCACCTGTCTCCTGCAGCCACCAGCATGGGCAGCTGTCACCCAGCTGCACTTCCAAGACTCACAGCCCCTCCGGCCATCCGACAGACAGGAAGCAGCAGGAGAATTCTTGACAGACTCCTGTTTTTTTCTTCATAAGCTTTCAGAAAACTCGGTGCTGACAGACATCAGTTTAAACCTAACAAGTTCAGATACACATGGTTTATGTATAAGAATGACTTCTTTTCACCCTGGCCAGTGTG